CCTTTGACGCGGCGAGGCGGGTCGTGTTTCCCCGACTCCCGGACGGGCCCTGCGCTTCGGGGGCTCCTGCGGAATCCAGGCGGCCTTGATAGTCAGGGGGTCCCCGCGTCTCGGGCTCCCGAAGGAGGCGAAGTCTCCATGCCACAGGGCATAGGCGTACCTCGGCAGAATTCCAGAAATATTTTTATTCATAGTTTTTAATGATTATAGCGCCCCCTCTGACTTGGCCTGGGGTGCCCATGTAGAGCTGGGTGTGGTCGCCATAGTGATGACAGCCCACTCTGAAGTGGCAAATTACCCCCCTCAGCAGGTTCATGCTGGTGTTCAAAAATGTGGAGGAAAGGCCAAGCCCCAGGGAGCCCCAGAGCGGAGTTCCCGGGGTCAAGTGCTGCCCCCCCCCCCGGACCTCTGACAGGAAATGCCCACTGAAGGAGGAGCAGAAGCAGCATAAAACGGTGCCCCCTTCCCCAATCCCAGCAGGTCACTGTGCCTCATCATTTCAGATGCCCCTGTGGTATCCAACAGGACCAGGAGGGATGCGCTCCTCCATCAAGGTCCCGGTGGTCATTGACCAGAGTGACCAGTGCTGCTTCAGTCCCATGGCCAGGCCTGAATCGGAACTGAAAGGGAGGCAGATCATCAGTTCCATCCAGGTGATTTGCTCCGGTAGCTGATTTGCTGACCGGTTCTCTTTAAGGGGAGAATGGCTTCTGGATGAAATTCAGGGTGCTTGTGAAGCCCTTCATGGCATTGGGCCTGGCTCTCTGAGGGACCCTCTCTCTGATCGTTTCTGCCCATCTGTGTAATCGGGCAGAGTTGGCACTCTCTGGTTCCCACTAACAAAGAATATCACTTGACGGGACCCAGGAAACAAGCCTTCTCCTTCACTGAACCTGCCCTCTGGAATAGCATCACCTCAAAGACTCACAAGTGAAAAAATAAAGTGTGCCAAAGACCTCCAGTTGTGCCAAAGACATCCTGGGCGGGGGGCGAGGGGCAAAAATAGGCAAATTGTAGTGGAGCAACTACAGATGGCCCTCGTGATTGGGACCAGGGTTGCCATTGCTAAGCAATGGAAAGCGCTGTGTCATCTGACTGCATTGCTTAGCAACAGCAATCCCAGCAGTCCCAGTGTCGTCATAACCCCAAGACGCATGGGTTGTTAAGTGGGAAGCAGAGGGGATCCCAGGTAAGGAGTGCGGGGGTGCTGTGGGGGGGTGGGGGGCCCTGAGAGGCCCCACGCAGGCCTTGCACAAGTGCAGGGAGGCCAGGGGAAGCAGGGTGCGGGGCGCATGAGCAAGGGAGGCTGGGGCAGGGAGACTTATCAGAGTGACTTGTGACCTTCCCTGCCAGCTTCCCCATTGACTTTGCTTGTAGGAAGCCGGCAGGAAAGGTTGCAAATGGCGATCACGTGACCCCGGGAAGCTGCAACTGTCATTAAGTGCAGGCCAGTTGCCAGGTGCTCAGATCGTGATCGTGTGACTGCAGGGGTGCTGCAACAGCCACAACTTTGAGGACCAGTCATAGATCCCCCCATTCAGCACCATCATAACTTTGAATGGTTGCTGAATGAGTGGCTGGTGAGCAAGGACCACCCGTACAGTGCTTTGGGCCTCCATCCTCTATGAGTCACAAGACCTTTTCCTGCCTCAAAAGGCTGCTAAAATTAAAAATCCTTGGCATTCTTAGGAGAGGATTTCTGCCTGAAAGGATGGTGAGATCAAGTGCTCAGTCCCCACGTGGGTGGAGGGGGTCCTGTTAACATCTGGAGGTCTTTCCTGGCGGGACTGGGCTGGGCAGGGCTGGGCAGGGCAGGGCAGCTGCTCTTGAGGTTCCCAGCGCCCGAGATCTGCCCACTCCTGAACTATGTCTGAATTGAAGCGAGAGCCACGAGGGGCCTAGCGCTGCCTGACTTTGGCACAAACGTGCCCGGCGACCTCTTTTTGCCTTATCTCGTGACCCTAAGGCTTCAGGCAGCCTTAAGGCATTCTGGTTTCCGGGAGTGCTGCTAAGCAGCCGCTTCACGTCTTACGGTGGGACAAGGCAGTGCGCTTCGCCGAGGTGACTCCTGGAGCTGCGATCAACCGATGGGGACGCGCCTTTCGTTCCCCGGGCCGCTCTGCGCAGCGGAAGAGTCTGGTCTCTCCAGGCGGCCTCTTCCCCGTACGCAGCAGGTGTCTGAGCCGGGGGTCAACCAGGCCGATTACGGCGGGCCCTGGTGGACCCAGACGCAAAGGGAGCGCGCTCGTTCTCCATCCGGCCACTGAGCTACTTTCAACCCAAGTGGCGCAAGAGTGCGAGACCCACAGCCTGGGCAGGCACGGAGCGCGTGCTGACTTCAGCAGGGGGCCGGCACGAGCCCTTTTCCGGCCAACGCTCCTCTTCGCGAGTCTACGGCCCGTCGAC